CCGTACAAAAGGCACTGCATTATATTCCATTGTTGTGAACTATGTCTTTAAAATAAGGACATTATTTTACCACCGTATTTTTTATGGGAGTTTCAGCACTCGTCTGCTGCTCCTGACGGCACAATATTGGATCCATTTTGTGCTTAAATGAATGCTTACCCTACTGAAAAAAAACTGCTTAAACCAGCCTAGGCTGGTTGGCTGGTTTTAGCTGGTCGACCAGCCTGATTTTAGAGGGGTTTTGGCCATTTCCAGGCTGGTTTCCAGCCATTTCCAGCCTGGTCTTCGCTGGTCAGGCTGGGAGATGACCAGCTAAAAACCAGCTTGACCAGCCTAGCCAGGCTGGGAGCCCAGCCAAAACCAGCTATGTCCAGCTTAAACCAGGCTAGTCTTGCGCTGGTTTTAGCTGGATTTAACTGGTCATTTTCCAGCCTAACTAGCTAAAACCAGGCTGGAAATGACTGGAAACTAGCCTGGAAATGGCCAAAACCCCTCTAAAACCAGGCTGGTCAACCAGCTAAAACCAGCAGACTATATAAGACTATAATTAATTAACTATATTTCAATTATTTTATGTTATCAATGATTTAAAAGGACCCTTAGGACATTGAAAATAGTCTTCAACCTTTCACCGGAAGTTTATCAGTGGCTGAAATACACTACCTTATAGAACAGGGGTGTCAAACTCAATTCCTGGAGGGCTGAAGCCCTGCACAGTTTAGTTCCAACCCTGCTCCAACACACTTACCTGTAGGTTTCAAACAAGCCTGAAGGACTCAATTAGTTTGATCAGGTGTGTTTAATTAGTGTTGGAACTAAACTGTGCAGAGCTGCGGCCCTTTTGGAACTGAGTTTGACACCTGTGTTATAGACTATTTAAGGCTTGTAAACAATAACAATGGTCTTATATTTCCTGTTTTCCTTTTTTAATGTCCATAGCTTCAATAATTCATATTGATAAATGATGTTATGATAGCTGTTTTAACATTAAGGTATTATTAAATTGTCTCATTACAGTTATGAAATAGTTAAACAACCAGCAGGAAATGATCATAGGCAAGTAGCACCACCATTGAAATGGTCTATACCAGGGGTCACCAATCTCGCTCCTGGAGGTCCGGTGCCCTGCAGGCTTTAGCTCCAACTTGCCTTAACACACCTGCCTGGGTGTTTCAAGCACACCTAGTTAGACCTTGATTAGCTTGTTTAGGTGTGTTTGATTAGGGTTGGAGCTAAAATCTGCAGGACACCGGACCTCCGGGAACAAGTTTGGTGATCCCTGGTCTATAGCATGAGTTAATTACGTCACAGAAATTAAATCTAATGCACATCTGTTCAGGAATAATGTTGACTTAAAAATGATTGTGGAAAATGATAACCGGATTAAACGATTTAGCTTTATGTAATTTAACTAACAGTTACTCATGCCAAGCCCCAAATCCTTGATGATTTCAGACCGCAAGCTGTTTGAAATGACTCCTAAACGTACAGGGATATAATAGCTGACTTTTCTTTTCAGTTCAACCTGGCGGTTCTGGATGAGTAGGGTGGTCTTTTTGGTCTATAGCATCTTTTTTTGAATGGAGTCTCTGTAAGCCATGGTGATGGTGCTCTCCATCCTATTCTTCCCAGTCTTTTTCTTCATGGCTTTGGGCTCGAAGCTCTGTCCTCACCAATGCTCTTGTTATGAAGCATCAGAGCTGGTGGACTGTCGATCTCGAGGGTTTTCCCACATCCCTCACAACATTCCTCACGGCACGTGGCTCCTGGATCTCAGCGGGAACAAGTTGTCGGAGTTGGGGAGCACCTCTTTTATTGGGATATGGGCTCTGAGGGTACTCCTGCTGTCACAGAGCAACATTCGAGTGGTGCATGATCAGGTACGAGTCACTTTTTTGCATTGTTTTTAGCTCAACCCCTTAAAAATAGAATTATTCACTGGCATCTAATGTTCATTGAGAGATAAAAAGATGTGTGTGCGTGTGTTCATGATATGTAAGTGTACTGCTGAATGTGTTTTTTTTTTATTGAATACAAGAATAATAACATCAATGCATTGAAGAAAAAATACAATAATAAAGAAGACAGAGAAAAAAAATACACAGCCTCAATCATTAAGAAAAAAGATTGTCATAAGCTTTAAGAAACTTATTATTCTTATTATTAATAAGCTTAAGAGATTCAATATTGTACGAAATTTCAACAAGGAAAGTATTAAAAATAGGTATTGTATGTGTTTTTTTTTTGTTTGTTTGTTTGGTCATGTTAGCCAATCTGCAAATACAACATTATTTGTATAGCGGTTTCCCCCACAGTCAAACACATGCGCGTGAATGCAAGAGTGTATGGGTGTTTCCCTGTACTGGGTTGTGGCTGAAAAGGCATCTGCTGCGTGAAGCATATGCTGGAATAGTTGGCGGTTCATTCCACTGTGGTGACCCCTGAGAAATAAAGGGACTAAGAAGGAAAATGAATAGTTAACTAATAACTAATAGCTTCTAACAGTTAAAGTTGGTATATGTATGTATATATATATATATATATATATATATATATATATATATACACACACACACACACACACACATATATATATATATATATATATACACACATATGCTGGATTAGTTGGCGGTTCATTCCACTGTGGTGACCCCTGAGAAATAAAGGGACTAAGAAGGAAAATGAATAGTTAACTAATAACTAATAGCTTTTAACAGTTAAAGTTG